TTGTAGGGGTTTTTTTTTAAGGGAGCTTTAGTTTTAAAACACAATATAGTTTACTAATTTGGAAGATAGCAATACAATTTCATCTGATCAGCATAAGGCCAAAGACCAAAATATAGTACCTAATTTTACAAAAATATCATTAAAAAATATCAAAATTACACACAACGCCACTCCTTCTAAGGCAAGCATACTATGCCACACGTCCACATCCAGCCAACTGCTACCGCTGGCCAGCCATCGCCAGACGCCTGTCGACGGCCACCTGCACCTCTACCGCTGACTACTTGCCGCCGACCGACTGCGACTGCCCCTCACCAACCTGCCATCATATGTAGGGGACCAACTCCGTTGCACTTATTCACCTTTAAAAAAAAAAAATTGTGTCATTAAAGAGACTCAAACTTTGACCCTCAAAGGAGAATGGCTCACTCACAAACCACTACACCAAATTATGAAGATTTCACTATTTTTGAAATTAAAAACATGGATTTAAAGGCTCCACTAAAGAACCCTATCTATTATCATCTAAATAATGCCACCAAGTAATTTTCAGTTGAAGAGAAGCTATCACTCTAATACATTCATAAACGAACTCAAAACACAAAAAAGTAGCCACAGTTCAGATCTCAAAACAATACCGCCGAAATTGAACAAAAAATATCAAGAAAAGTCCATTTCCAAGTAATTCAATCGCATAACATCAAAACTAGACCTCATCAGAATAAAAAACAACACAATAATTAGCATAGGTTCTGAATTACCATAGGAAACGAAGATCTATTAGGTCAAGTCACCAAAATCACAGGAAGAGCCTTTGAGCTTTGCGAATCTGCCGACGTCAATCCTCTGATTGCTTCTGAGGGACCGGAAAACACCTTCTCCGCCAGCAATCTTGACGCATGATGAGACATCGTCGTCATCGATTGCTTCTCCGCCAGAAAAAGAAAGAAGACGCCTTCTCCACTGTCGATCCTCCTATTGATTCTCCACCGGAAAATGCCTTCTTCTGGCGCTTTGCAGTGACCTTAGCCATGGTCATTGTTGGTATGAGTATGGTCATTAAAATCGTTGGTGGTGGTTGCAACCTCGTGTTCTCTGTTTGGGATTGAATCAAAACTAGAGCGTGATCTAGCTCCTATATAAAATATAAAGGGTAAAAATGTTATTTCAAATACAAATTAAACAAACTCAAAGAGCACCTGATTAGGCCCACTGGCTTTTAACAAAATAAAAGTTATAACTCATCCACCATATCCAAAACAAAAATTTCTCAAAAAAAAAAAAAAAAAACAAAACAAAAATAGGTAATGTAATCATATGCTAATTACTAAAGTTTTTTTTTTGTCACTATTTTTTTTTTTTTTTTTTTTTTTTTTTTTTTTAACATTTAAGACTAAGTTGGAAAATCAGCCCTGGGCTAGAGCCCAACCGAGCCTCTTCGTAGTTCCGCCCTTAATCCCTTACCTTTCTTCTTTCACACTTTCTAATCCAACTTCTTTCATCGTTCTATCTTCTCCTTCTTCTCCTTTCAATCTCGGAATTATCAATCCTTGGTATGTTGTTAGTTCATCTTGCCTTTCTCTGTTTCTCTGTAATCTTATATTCCTAACTCAAATATTCATATCTGAACCGCATTTCCCCTTAGAAAGGTAAATGTTTTGTTTTCTGAAGTTTTCATGTGGGTTTAATTTCAGGAATGGTTTTGGATTTTATTTATGTGTGGGTTTTATTTATGAGACTCAACTGGAAAGCTTCCATCTCTCAACCTTCGATTGAAATCCCTTTCATATCAGAGTTTTTTATATGTGAAGCCCAACCGACGCCGACATTGTTCACATAAATCTGATTGTCTCTTTGACAACCATATGAAAGCCCAACCAACAACGACGTCAACGCCGTCAGTCTGAACCTTCATGTGTTCAAACGATGTTGGCCTAGATCCTGTTATCTTTGTCTTTGGTTTAGTGTTTGAAGAACATTTGTTTTCTGCATATGTAGCTGGACTATGTCTGGAATTTTTTCTTTTGGTTTCTTGTTCTTAAGTTTCTTGGTTTGAATTATTTGGTTAAAGTTTCAACTCTTTATGGAAGGATTATTTATATATATATATATAATATGGGTCTTGACTCATATTTTTTCAGCTTTGATTGTGATTTCAACAAAGAATTGGATGATGGGTATTTTGGTTTGAGTGTTGTAATTTGGTTTTCAGTAAGGGATTTGGATTTCAGCTAAAAATAAAAATAAAAAGGACTTGGAAATTATTATAATTGTGAAAAATATAATACACAAATATAACACAAATAATAATGGAAAGGATTTCTATTTTAAAAAAAAGGATAATGAAACGATGTTGGACAGCGCAGTCAAATAAAATAAAATAATAAAATATAAATATAGTTTGATTAGACGTGATGTGGGGCCCACTTTGGAGCAATAGGATGGTCAACACAATTTGTTACGAAATGGTGTTTTAATCGTGACAAAACCCGATAGTTACAACCACAAAAGTCACGGGATCAAAACTTGTAAGTGCACCGTTACTAATGGCTTTAGTCACGAATATTCGTGACTAATACTACCAAAAGTCACGAAAAAAAAAGTGATTGTTGTGTGTTTTTATTGTAGTGAGACCACGTATGTAAAAGCACATACATTCACAGATTTGGTCAAATTATAATCAATAATATTTTTAGTGGAGATTTATGTGTGCTTGCTGCTGCTGCTGGTGACTGTTGTTTTACTTTACTTTTCGTCAAAAACGTTTTCTTGCTTGTTATTAGAATTTGTGATGAAAGGGACAGCTTTTGTTTTGTGTGGCGCCTCTTGCCATAAAACGTTTTCTTGCTTGTTATTGAGAAGCAAATGTTGTTACACAGACTTGCTAGGTTTGGTTTAAGTAATGACGATAGTTTGGTTTGAGGTGCCTTTAATTTTATTCAGGATGTTTTGTTATGTAATTCTTTAGAATAATACTAGTCTTACCATATTTTTTATACCACAATTTTATACCACATGATGTGGCGGCTGATGTGTATATACCACATCATGTAAAATACTAGTTTCTGTTTTTCTAATTTTATTTATTAAAATACACTTTATTCATTTAATTGATATGTCATATGATATGGACATGCCACATCATGTGGTATAGAAATATGGGATAATAATGTGGTAAGTGTAGCATTACTCAATTCTTTAAGTCGGAGGGAGCATGTTTGTTTTTTGTTATAATTCTTTTATTTATTAATAACGATAAAATATAGAAAGGGCTTTTTTTTAGCATAAGGGATCTAATTAAGATGAATGTTTTCGCATTATAGATCTAAGGTGATTTGCTTTTCATATGAAATGCTGAAAGCGAACCTGATACTTTCATTTTTCAATTAAAAAAACAGTGCTGAAATTAAATAAGGTCAGGCATTTTTTGGCAAATTATAATAAACCATTAAGTGTCTCCCAAATCACGTGTAAGAGACACAATAATTTATGGTGAATCCAAGTCTATATAGAAAGAAGATAAAAACCATCATATTAATGAAAAGAGAAGGCGCCAGCTTGGTGTCAATGCTGACATCATCAACTTTCGGGCAATAGCATGAGCTCAATTTGCCTTTGGGCTTGCCTGAATCGATAGCCCCCACCATTTTCCCAGGATGCTCTAGCGCGCTGGAAGAGCCAAACGGCCCAGTCCCTCTTCTGCCAGGGCCAGCCCAAAGAGCTGGAAATTCTCTTAGTATTTCACTCTCAGAAAACTTCAATAATGGTCAAGGCCCGACAAAGAAGAAAATAAGAAGAGCTTGGAAGCTAACACCACTTGACATTTGTAGTAGAGTGGGACCTCAAGTTGCTTAATGCTTCCATGCTCATGCTGACGCGTGGTTGACCTAATAAGGCAGAAAGATGCAATTGTGGATGAGTAGTGATTTTTCACTCCAATTTTATCCACTTACACTCCATTTTATAACTAAAATGATGCTGAGAAAGATTGAGGTCAGTTGATTTTGAGCTTGACCAAATTTCTAACCAATTTTGACCAAATTGTTGCCTATCAGCAATAACCTGATTTTATTATTATTATTTTTTTGAATACAAGTGATAGTGAAAACAACAAGAGGAGGGGGTTTTTCATACTATCAAAGAGACACGAAGGTTCGAACATGAGACTAATGAATTGCAAAGATTTTCAAATGTGCAGCCATCAATAGGAGCCTATAACAACAGGGTATTGCTAAGAAAAGACATGCACCATTGTTGTAAATTTTTAGAACCTTAACATGATTTGCAAGATTCTTTGATATGAGAACGCAGCTTTTCTTTATTTATGAAAAAGATAGTAGGAAACTTATTAAATTACATCTGTATGATATGGATGATGGAAAAAATCATCACAACGCCCTTCTCAATCCCAATCCACACATCCCTAAATTCACAATTCAAAGCATGTCAAGCTAGGAGTAGTGTGAGCAACTCATAACCTGTATGCATGCCTATATAATTACACCCACACATTCTGAGTCCCAAACCCAAAACTATCTAACAATTACAAACAATGGAGCTCAAGAAGTAACCAAATGCAAGTGACAGCCATGGAATGAAGTGGAGAGATTTCGTGCCTGCTGGTGCTTCCTTGTAGAAAAACTCTAGCAGTCCAACTAGAGTGAACATGTCAGCAATTCCAAAGATAGCATATTGGAAGGAATGCCAAAAGAGACTTATGGGCTTTGTTATGTGCTTGTGGACTTGGCTTTTTCTCTTCACTTCAACAATGCAAGCCAAAAGAGACTTATGGGCTTTGTTATGTGCTTGTGGACTTAGTTTTTTATCTTCACTTCAACAATGCCGGCTACAGCTGTAGAAAAATATATTGGGTAAGAAATATTTCATTAATATGTGAATGAGAAATATATATACAATTACATTCCTTGCTCTACAAGACTTTTACCCCTACAAGTTAGGAATACAGCTACAGCTAGGATTACATCGTCTAACACTCCCCCTCAAGTTGGAGAGTGAATGTCAAGAACACCCAACTTGCGTATCAAAGTTGAAAACTTGTCCTTCCCAAGGGGCTTAGTGAACAAATCTGCCAACTGGTGTGTCGTACGCACATATTTTGTCGCTACGGTTCCATCTGCAATCTTATCGCGTATAAAATGACAATCCATCTCAATGTGACGAGTTCGCTCATGAAAAACAGGATTCGCGGCTATATGCAAAGCAGCTTGATTATCACAAAATAAAACAGAAGGACCTTCCAAAGGAATATTCAAATCCTTCAACAAAAAACGAAGCCAAACTAACTCACAACAAGCACCTGCCATGGCCCTATATTCTGCCTCAGCTGAAGAAAGCGACACAGTTTTCTGTCGCTTTGTTCGCCACGAAATCAGAGAATTTCCCAAGAATACACAATACCCAGTAGTCGAACGACGAGTGATAGGACAACCGGCCCAGTCAGAGTCGCAAAATGCAGCTAACTTAGTCTGGTTGTCAGAACGAAATAATAAGCCTTGACCTGGAGTTGATTTTAAATAACGAACAACACGAAGCGCAGCATCCATATGAGGAACACGGGGCTCATGCATAAACCGACTCAAAACATGCACGGAATATGTGATATCTGGCCGAGTTATGGTGAGATAAATCAACCGTCCTACTAAGCGCCGATACTTTTCAGGATCCTTGAGAAGTTCTCCTCGATCAGATAATTTTGTGTCATCCATGGGAAAAGCAATGGGCCGTGCACCCAGAAAACCATAATCCTTGAGAATCTCCAATGCATACTTTCGCTGTGAAATATAAATTCCACGTTGAGAGTGAGAAACCTCGATACCCAAAAAATATTTTAGTTCCCCAAGGTCTTTTATCCGAAAGTGGTCACGGAGAAAAGACTTCAGAGAATCAATGGCCCTGACGTCATTCCCTGTAATCACAATATCGTCCACATAAATGAGTAAGGCTGTGAAAGAAGTACCGGACTTTCTGGTGAACAATGAATAGTCAGCTTTTGATTGTTGGAATCCAGCGGAAAGAATGGCAGTAGTGAATTTAGCAAACCATTGGCGAGAAGCCTGCTTGAGACCATATAGAGATTTATGAAGGCGACACACAAGATTCTCCCCCTGTCGCCGAAGAGCAGGAGGAGGAGACATATAAATTTCCTCATGTAAATCACCGTGCAAAAAGGCATTATTAACATCGAGCTGATGAAGAGACCAAGACTGACTAGCAGCAAGAGCAAGAAGACAACGCACAGTAATCATCTTAGCAGTAGGGGAAAAAGTGTCATGATAATCAATACCTGCAGCCTGTGTGTAACCTTTAGCAACCAAGCGAGCTTTGTAACGCTCAATAGAACCATCAGAATTATACTTCAATTTGTACACCCATTTACAATCAATGGGAGCTTTGCCAGGGGGCAGGGTAGTCAGAGTCCAAGTACCATTGGCATGTAATGCCTGAAGCTCCTCATGCATGGCACGACGCCAATTAGGATCACTGGTAGCCTCGGCAAAGGAGGAGGGCTCCACATGCCGACTGACAGAATATGTATATGAAAGATGTTTGGGTGAGTAACGGTGATAAGAAATAAAATTACAAAGTGGATAACGCGTACCAGGTGGAGAACTGGGCGGCGAAGTCGAGGATTGGTGTGGCGGCAGAATCACCTGCGAGCAAACGTAGTCCTTTAAATAGGATGGGGATGTACGGGTGCGGGAAGAAATGCGGGGGGCGGGGGAAGGTTGAGAAGGAGGTGGGAGCGAGGAGGGGTTGGGGTCCGGGGGTGAACTAGATGGGATATCGGGAGAGGGAGCAGAGTGGTCAGGGAAGGTGTCATTAAGAGGAGGAGGAGGAGCCATGGAGGGAGAGGTGGATGGGTCGGCAAGAAGGGCAGTAAGGGGTTGTGGTGTAGGGACAGGGGATGGGGGATAAGGAAAGTCCAGAGAGGAAGGGAGAGGCAAGGGAGGCGTGGGGGATGGGGTAGAGGTGGGGGGAAGAGTATAAGGGAAGGAATCTTCATGGAAGATTACGTCCCGACTTGTGAAGAGGCGGTGAGTGTCTAGGTCATATAGTTTGTAGGCCTTTTGGCCGGGAGGGTAACCAAGGAAGATGCAACGGTGAGCCCTAGGGGAAAATTTAGTGGGTGGAAGGACAGAGGTGGCATAGGCTAAACAACCAAAAATGCGGAAGTGATCATAGGTGGGGACTTTGTTATGAAGGACTGCAAACGGTGTGTGATTATGGAGAAGACGGGTGGGAAGACGATTTATTAAATAAGCAGCGGTAAGGATACATTCACCCCAAAATTTGAGGGGAAGATTGGACTGGAAGCGAAGTGCACGTGCGGTTTCTAAGAGGTGTCTATGTTTGCGTTCAACAACGCCATTTTGTTGAGGGGTATAGACACAAGAAGTTTGAAGTAAAACCCCATGATCCGAAAAAAATGGACGAAGAGAAAGAAATTCGCCGCCATTGTCAGTGCGAATGCAACGAATTTTAGCATGGAATTGGGTACTGACATAAGCAAAAAAATCCTTGAGTAATTGTTGAGTATCAGATTTATGTTTCATGAGGAAAACCCATGTAAAACGAGAAAAATCATCCACAATGGTTAAAAAATAATGAGCTCCAGAAAGGGAAGTTTGACGATTCGGGCCCCAAATATCACAATGAATTAAAGCAAAAGGAAAGGTGGTTGAAATTGAACTTAAACCAAAAGGTTGACGAGTTTGTTTTGCCAAAGGACAAACATCACACACATGACTAGAATCAAAAGAACAATGTAAAAAACTAGAAGCTAAAGCTTGCAAACGAGGAGGGGAAGGATGACCAAGGCGCCTATGCCACAGGGAAGACGGGATGGTGATGACATTGCAGAGGGGGTGACTGGATGGGATGGAGGAGGCAAGAGCCACAAGATAATATAGGTCACCACGTCGCTTACCCACACCAATCGTCGCCTTCGAAACCAAGTCCTGCAAAACACACCAAGAGGGAAAGAATGTTACGGAACACGATAATCCATCTGTAAGCTTACCAACCGATAAAAGGTCCACTTTAAAAGTAGGGACGCATAAAACATCCTTCAAAAAAACAGAGGAATTTAAATGAAGAGTGCCAGTGGAAGTAATAGGGGCGGTAGCACCACTGGGCAAAGAAACAGGTGGCAAATGCGAAGCAGAAGTATTAACCAAACACGAGGCGGAAGAGGTAATATGATCCGTAGCACCACTGTCAAGGATCCATTGACCAAGACGAGAAGCTACGGGAAACAAACCTTTGGTAAAATCCTCACCAAAAACAGCATGAGCCTGAGGAGAGGAAGGAGGCTGGGCACCGTCACTGAGGGCAACAAGAACTCGGGAGTGTTGGTCGGCTGAGAGATGGGGCATAGCAATCTGGACATCATGCAGCGTGGGCTGCCCTTGCACGTGGTGAGCTGAAGGAGGGCTGGTAGTGGGCCAAGGATGAGCAGCATGGAGGTTACGGGCAGAAGGGGCAGCACCATTGCTGCGTGAAGAACCAGCACCATTGTTGGGTGAAGAACCAGCAGAGGTAGAGCGACGGGGTGGCCTCCACGGCTGGCCATGGAGAGGATGACCAACAGGGTAACCATGAAGCTTGTGGCAATTGTCACGGGTGTGAAAATCGTAGTTGCAATAGGTGCAGTGAAGAGGAGGACGGTCGGAGGAAGCACGGGACGATCCACGGACCGCCATGGCTGCAGCAGATTGGTCGACTGAACGGGGAGAACCCATCTAACGTTGCTTCTCGGCCTGAGACACGGAGGAACAAGCATGGCGAACGGTGGGCAGGGGGCTCATCAAGAGGATTTGATCACGAACGGCAGAAAAAGACTCGTTAAGCCCCATGAGAAACTGCATAAGCTACTGTCTGTCGTTCTTGGTGCCTGAAGAACAAGTGCAGGGTTCGTTGTATGAGGCAAGTTCGTCCCAAGGGCCTTTGAGACGAGTGAAATAGGCAGAAACAGAAGAAGTCCCTTGGGAGATGGTGGCAATTGCACAGTTGAGTTGAAAGATGCGAGGAGCGTTGCTTTGGGAAAACTGTTCACGGAGGTCGTCCCAAACAGCTTTGGTAGTGGTGGAAAAAAGGACGGACTCGGCAAGGTCAGGCTCCAAAGAATGGAGAAGCCAAGAAAGAATCATATTGTTGCAGCGGCGCCAGGCAGCGTGTTTATCAGGGTCCGTGGAGGAGGACGGTTCCCCAATAGTACCATGAATAAAGCCAAGTTTGTTCTTGGCGCTCAAAGAGATCTCCATGCCGCGTGCCCAGGTGGTATAATTGTCTCCATTTAATTTGGTGGAGACAAGAACAAGGTTAGGATGATCAGAATGGTGAAGGGAAAAAGGACTGGAATCTGAGTCTCCCATGATGAAAAAAGGAACGGCAGGAGGAGTCAGCCGAAAACAAAATAAGGGGAAGCTAGGGTTTTGAGACCTTGCTCTGATACCATGTAGAAAAATATATTGGGTAAGAAATATTTCATTAATATGTGAATGAGAAATATATATACAATTACATTCCTTGCTCTACAAGACTTTTACCCCTACAAGTTAGGAATACAGCTACAGCTAGGATTACATCGTCTAACAACAGCCATGAAATTGTAGATAGGACTAGTCCAACACCGATGCATTGAAGCTGCATGTTGCCTGCAGGATGGTTTGTGATCTTTATAGCGAAAGGAATGAAGAAGAACAAGTAGATTGGGATGAGCATGGACATGAAAAGGAGAGGGATGACAGGAATTGATGGCCCCGGAAACTCAAAAGAGCCCATATAGTGGTTCATGGCATTCCCTTGTTGGACTGAGAATGTTTGGAGTTGTGCTAAACAAGTGTTCATTAATTATGATGGTGCTGAACAGAATGGGCAACATTCTTGTTAGGACCTTGACTTCTTCCACTTGTGTTACTGTGCAAACCACCCATTGTTGGGGCTCGGTGTCTTTGCCAAGTATGGCTGCTTCGTCTAGAAACCTGGTCAAAATTAATAGGCATATGCAGTAATTAATTACCTCATCTCTGTGAAATTTTGTTTAGTACTATAAGCTACAATGTGACAAGCATTTTCCAAAAGGTGCAGTGATCTGCTTAATTGGTACCCTTTGAAGTCAAAAACTTTTATTAAAAGCTTCCAAAAACTCCACATCCTTTTTCACCCCTCAAATTAACAAACATATATATCATGGTCAACACGTCAACTTCAAAAGGGAAACCCTCCCACGTTAACAAAAACTTTGATAGAAACTTGTCATTGTATTCTCAAGGTGCTTCTTGATTTTCTGTTGAAGAATCTTGGCATGCCGTTTGGTGAGTCTTGCACTACTACAAAAAAGGCCAAAGACGACGGGAATTCACCGTCGTGTATTCGGTTTTCAAACCGTCGTGAAATCGACCGACATCTATTTGGGTGTCAAAACTACGACGGCTTTTCACCGTCGTTGTTTATCCATAACGACGACGGTTTTTAAAGAAAATCGTCGTTGTTTAGAGGTAAAGATCGTTAATTATATGAGGAAAGACGACTGTTTTAATAAAAACCGTCGTGTATTGTATGTAAAGATGACGATTTTTTATAAAAACCGTCGTGGATTGTTTATAAAGACGTCATCTTTACGTACAATAAACGACGGTTTTTTTTATAAAAAAGCGTCATCTTTATGTACAATCGACGACGGTTTTTTTTATAAAAAGCGTCATCTTTACGTACAATAGACGACGGTTTTTTTTTATAAAAAGTGTCATTTTGACATATAATAGACGACGGTTTTTTTATAAAAAACGTCATTTTTACATACAATAGAGGACGGTTTTTTTATAAAAAGCGTCGTCTTTACATACAATAGACGACAGTATTTTTATAAAAAGCGTCGTCTTTACTTACAATAGACGACGGTATTTTTATAAAAAGCGTCGTCTTTACTTACAATAGACGACGGTATTTTTTTATAAAAAGCGTCATCTTTACTTACAATAGACGACAGTTTTTTTTATAAAAACCGTCATCTTTACATACAATAGACGACGGTTTTTATGAAAAGCGTCATCTTTACATACAATAGACGACGGTTTTTATAAAAAGACGTCATCTTTATGTACAATAATGTTTTTTGATTTCCTATGATGCTATACAATGATTTTAACTAGAAAACCAACCATAATGCTTTATTAATGAATATATAATAGTTTCTTTCATAAAACTTGAAGATTCAATAGTTATTACATAGTTAACCAATCTTTAATCTACAACAAACATAATTCCTAACAAGACCTACGTACTCCTAATCCAAGCATTCCTCATCCAAACATACAAATGATGCACAACTGAAGTCTCCTCCATCATCCCTGTAAATAAATCAAAATGACAAAGAGAGAAAAAAAGAAGAAGCTAAGATTATAAACATAAAAAATTAGGTGGAAGAGAAATTTTACCATTGGTCTATATTTCCATAGAAAACTTGTAAAATGAGCATAAAAAGACCATCAAGAACCTGCAAATTTTCAACAACAAAAAAAACATACGACTCACATAGAAAACCTACAAAAGAAAAAGTTATAAATCTGCAAGTTTCCTCCTCATCTCCTGATAACCAAATCAGAAAATCTAAAAAGAAACTAGAAAAAAAAATGTAAACAAATAAGACAAATCAAGATAGACAAAATCTGAAATTAGGGAGACAAAGAACATACCAAAAACGCAAAGAGACTAAGACCTCAACCAGCTTTGATTCTCAAATACAAAATATCCCTCTACATCTTATGGATTTGCTAAGACCTCAATCTCTCAACTCCTTCATTGATATCGATTTTTTGATGATTTTGTAAAGAGTTTCATGAGGGTGTTTTAGAGAGTGCAGGAGGGTTTCAAGGAGGGAGAGATAAGGTTTTCAGAGACGGGGGAAAATCTGAAAATTTGTCGAGCGCGAATTCACTTAAGTATACTTTTTTTAGCGTGTTTTAAAAGACGACGCTTGTTAATGAGAGATAAGATTTTCAAAGACGGGTGAAAATTTGAAAATTTGTCGAGCGTGAATTCACATTTTTTAGCGTGTTTTAAAAGACGAAAAAAACATATAATAGACGACGGTTTTTTTATAAAAAGCGTCATCTTTACATATAATAGACGACGGTTTTTATAAAAAGCGTCATCTTTACATACAATAGACGACGGGTTTTTATAAAAAGCGTCATCTTTACGTACAATAGACGACGGTTTTATAAAAAGCGTCATCTTTACATACAATAGACGATTTTTACCGCTACACTCCTTGACCCTATATGAATACAATGATTGAATTTGATCTTCAATTTAAAATATTTACACTAGTGGATACCACAAAATCTTATGTTATATTTAACGAAAGTATAAATAAACTCTTAATTGTTAGTGAAATTTTTTTTTATGGCATACGCATTTTAAGAAACTAGTTTCAACGATCCAACCGTCAAAATTGTTTGTTTATACTTCGAGATCATTTACGCCAAAAATCGGAAAAAATAAACATTCAGAGATCAAGTAATGGGACAAAAAAATTTGACGGTTATAAATGAAAAGTCATGATTTAACGGTTATTTTAACTCCGATTTTGATGATTTTTTACCGCTACACTCCTTGACCCTATATGAATACAATGATTGAATTTGATCTTCAATTTAAAATATTTACACTAGTGGATACAACAAAATCTTATGTTATATTTAACGAAAGTATAAATAAACTCTTAATTGTTAGTGAATATATTGTTTTGATGGCATACGCATTCTAAGAAACTAGTTTCAATGATCCAACCGTCAAACTTGTTTGTTTATACTTCGGAATCATATACGCCAAAAATCGGAAAAAATAAACATTTAGAGATCAAGTAACGAGTCAAAAAAATTTGACGGTTATAAATGAAAAATCATGATTTAACGGTTATTTTAACTCCGATTTTGATGATTTTTTACCGCTACACTCCTTGACCCTATATGAATACAATGATTGAATTTGATCTTCAATTTAAAATATTTACACTAGTGGATACCACAAAATCTTATGTCATATTTAACGAAAGTATAAATAAACTCTTAATTGTTAGTGAATATATTATTTTGATGGCATACGCATTCTAAGAAACTAGTTTTAATGATCCAACCGTCAAACTTGTTTGTTTATACTTCGAGATCATATACGCCAAAAATCGGAAAAAATAAACATTCAGAGATCAAGTAACGGAACAAAAAATTTCGACGGTTATAAATGAAAAATCATGATTTCACGGTTATTTTAACTCCGATTTTGATGATTTTTTACCGCTACACTCCTTGACCCTATATGAATACAATGATTGAATTTGATCTTCAATTTAAAATATTTACACTAGTGGATACCACAAAATCTTATGTTATATTTAACGAAAGTATAAATAAACTCTTAATTGTTAGTGAATATATTGTTTTGATGGCATATGCATTCTAAGAAACTAGTTTCAATGATCCAACTGTCAAACTTGTTTGTTTATACTTCGAGATCATATACACCAAAAATCGGAAAAAATAAACATTCAGAGATCAAGTAATGAGTCAAAAAAATTCGACGGTTATAAATGAAAAATCATGATTTAACGGTTATTTTAACTTCGATTTTGATGATTTTTACCACTACACTCCTTGACCCTATATGAATACAATGACTGAATTTGATCTTCAATTTAAAATATTTACACTAGTGGATACCACAAAATCTTATGTTATATTTAACGAAAGTATAGATAAACTCTTAATTGTTAGACGACGGTTTTTTTATAAAAAGCGTCATCTTTACGTACAATAGACGACGGTTTTTTTTTATAAAAAGCGTAATCTTTACTTACAATAGACGACGGTTTTTTTTAAAAAAACGTCATCTTTACATACATAACGACGTTTTTTAAAAAACGTCATCTTTACAGACAATAGACGACGGTTTTTATAAAAAGCGTCATCTTTACATATAATAGACATTTTTTTTATATAAAAAGCATTATCTTTACATACAATAGACGACGGTTTTTATAAAAAGCGTCATCTTTACATACAATAGACGACGATTTATAAAAAGAGTCATCTTTACATACAATAGACGACGGTTTTTATAAAAAGCGTCATCTTCACATTCGATAGACGACGGTTTTTATAAAAAGCGTCATCTTTACATATAATAGACGATGGTTTTCATAAAAAGCGTCATCTTTACATACAATAGACGACTTTTATTTTATTTTATAATAAGCATCATCTTTACATATAATAGACAATTTTTTTTTATAAAAAGCGTCATCTTTACATACAATAGACGACGGTTTTTATAAAAAGCGTCATCTTTACATATAATAGACGACGATTTTTATAAAAAGCGTCATCTTTACTTACAATAGACGACGGTTTTTATAAAAAAGCGTCATCTTTACATATAATAGACGACCTTTTTTTTATTTATAAAAAGCGTCATCTTTACATATAGTAGACAACTTTTTTTTATAAAAAGCATCATCTTTACATACAATAGACGACGGTTTTTATAAAAAGCGTCATCTTTACATACAATAGACGACGGTTTTTATAAAAAGCGTCATCTTTATATACGATAGACGACGATTTTTATAAAAAGCGTCATCTTTACATATAGTAGACGACGGTTTTTATAAAAAGCGTCATCTTTACATATAATAGAGGACGGTTTTTTTATAAAAAGCGTCGTCTTTACATACAATAGACAACGGTTTTTATCAAAACAACCACATCTTTACCAAAAAAATGACACTTGATTTTTAAAAGACGACGCTTGTGATACCTGCTGTCGTTGTTTTTTGGTCAGATTTTAACTCTGAACAAAACCTTTTTAATAAGATGACGCTTTTTATTTGTGTGCGTCGTTATAAAAAAATATTCAACAGTACCTCCGGTTTTTAGTTGTTTAAGTCACTTATTCACGACGGTTTTTTGTTATCGTCGTCTTTTTAAATACAACGACGGTTTTTTCTTCTACCGTCGTCTTTTTCTGGTCGTCTTTTTCACTTTTTGTAGTAGTGTTGTTTGAATATATTTGGCATGCATTAATGTGAGTTTATTGGACATTATTGGTGAACTTTAAGCATGAGTTAATGTAATGTCTCACCTGAACTGATCAGTGTGTGCAATTTTTTCTTCAGTATAATTTGACTCTTTTTATTGATCTCATAAAGTTCTTGAGGGCTCCCTGGCTGTGGCAAACGTCTATTTTTTATGGCAACGACGACAACCTGACAAATCATTTAAACAGCATAGGCATCTTAGTAATTAATCAAGTGTGTGTGGTAATTGTGTTTGCACATGTAATTAAGTTTGAGAGAGTTTGATTAGAGAGAGAGACCTGAATGATCTTTATTCATGTGATTAATTGCAAGTGGACAATATTGCTCAAATTAATATTGTGGTAAATAAAGTATTGTTCCAACAAGGATCAAGTTAATCTATTAAATACTAGAGTGATTTATTTCTAATTATATTTGAATTAAATAATAAGAGAATTATGATGATTAAAATCTAAATAAGAAAGTAAAATAAGGGTAAGTAAATAATGTAAAAGATGAAACCAGGGATGATAAAGCACTAGGACACCGATTTCACCTAGTTAATCCCACCCAAATCCTTCTAGTTTGTTAATCCTAATTTACCTAACGTGTTGATAATTGTTTTCCCTTACCTCACCAATACTCTCTTCCGAGTTGTATTAGTTATGTTCTTTACCGTCAACCTACTTTATTGTTACTTATGGATTTAGATGGCTAAGAACCCATAAGATTTGTGGAAAACATTAAAGACTACACAAACCATAACCTAATCTTCCGAGTTAACCTACCTGTCCTTTGGTATTCATTCATACACATTTTCTACTTTCTGCTTGGTGGCTCTCATGGCACTATTTGTTGTCGCTTTTGCCATGTTCTTTGGCAACTCTAGTGCTGATCTTGACTTGCTTCAAGACATTTGTGTTGTCGACCTCGCTGCTGTTACACTTCTTGAACTTTTTTCTTCTTCTTTGTCAACCCCTTCATCTTTGTTTCTAATGTTTCAGTATTAGTGCTAGAAATGAACACATAAATTCACGTAAAAAGATCTAAAGGAGCATCCAACTCTTTCTTTTTCTCCTCAATTTCTTCAAAGTTAACCCTCTTTATTTTCCCTTTAGTAACTGTTTCTGGAGTTTCAAGTTGAATGATTTGTAGAAAGATTGTTTGATGTTTCTTTCTTTTCTTAAGATTATAATTGTTGCAACTTGCAACTATGTAACACCCCGACTCCAAATTTATCCCCTATTTTAATTAATTTGAGTGAAATTAAGAATTTACCCGTGGGATAGGGGTATTTTAGTTATTTTCTTACCCGAAAGGAATTTGGGAATTCCGGATGTACCGTTGTGTAGAGCACGGCGATATGAGTTCGTAGACACGTAGTGAGCTCGAATCGGAGTTGTAACGAGAGAGATACGATCTAAATACCTTCAGTGGCAAAACCGTAAATATTTTGAAATGGATTTTTGGTTAAAAGACGGAATTGCCCCCGTCTCTCTCACTCTCTCTCTCCCGCGCGCGTCTCTCCCTCTCTCTGGTTTTCGCGACGGCTGGAACACCAAAGTCGACGGGGCCGGTACCAAAATGACCGGCCACCGTCCTCTTCCTACCCCAGCCGGGTCTCACCGCCAGCCGCCGTGGTTTCGCCGGAAAACGAAGAGAAAAGCTCCGGTTTTGACAGAAAATTCACCGGCTTCGTTCTCCGTCGTCCGGCCGCCATTTTTGGCGATCAAGGTATGGAAATCTATCCTTTCCTCATGATCTAGCTGATGGATGGGTAGGATTTCGTTAATTTTGAGCCTAGATTATCTGATTCTCGAGTTAGGGTTCGGCCGGATTTCGAGGAGAGATTCCGGCCACTTCCGGTCAGATTTTGGGGTACGTCCAAGAACAAAAGTGACTCCAAATTAGGTGTTTTACCTAGGGTAGGAGTCTTGAGCCGTGATTCGTGGTTTTTCCGGCGATGGGTATCGCTTTGGACACCCACGCGCTGTCGGCGCGTGTGGCGGCGCGTGGGCACTGTAGCTGATGGCCATTTTTGTCCCAATGTGATCCTCAGGTTGTCATGAGCGCGTAGGTGTGCTCGGATCTCAATTTGGATATTGTTAGAGTCCCGAACGGATATCGCATATTGCGTATTTTCCGGGTTCGCTGGGTTTGGACCGTTGGATGGTCCTGATATTATAATGTGTTGATCTAGGTATTACCAGGATCGTATAGGATTCGACGGATCGTAAAACGGAGTCCCGGATACTCCGGAAATGCCAACCCTGGGGTTAGGGTTTTAGTAACCGTCCGATTGTGTGATCGTGAGCGATCCGACCGTCCGATCTGGACCAAACTTGCAGGACATGTGTCCTAGAGCCTGTAGAACCTCTAGGAACTTTCGGATCGGAATTTGGAGGTTGTGGGCCCCGCAGGCCCGTTTGACCCCAGGTTGACCGTGAGACTTCCGAGATAGTCTTACCTTTACTTGAGGGTTAGGATGACCTTAGCGACAGGTCTTGAGCGTTGTTGAGTAAAATGGATATTGTGGGTTTAGGATATAAATTGGTGAATTTAAATGGGGGGAGTTTATGGAATGTTTTATTGGTTGATGTTATTGTATGATTAGAAATTAAATGATATATAAAGAAATTGAATGTTAGTTTGCAGTGCTATATGCACTACCCTATGTACCTCCTCGGATGTTGACAGACCCCATACGTGGCCGGGTGCGTCCCGACGTATGAGGGGAGAAGTGACAGTAAGATGGCTGGTGAGAATGTAGCCAGGCCCAGTGTGAGGTCGCACGCGTCTTTGGATTAGCCGGCGTGTTGACAGACCCCATACGTGGCCGGGTGCGTCCCGACGTATGATGGGAGATATGATTGTGTGATGGCTGGTGAGAATGTAGCCAGGCCAGTGTGAGGTCGCACGCGTCTTTGGATTAGCCGGCGTGTTGACAGACCCCATACGTGGCCGGGTGCGTCCCGACGTATGAGGGGAGATATGATTGTATGATGGCTGGTGAGAATGTAGCCAGGCCCAGTGTGAGGTCGCACGCGTCTTTGGATTAGCCGGCGTGTTGAAAGACCCCATACGTGGCCGGGTGCGTCCCGACGTATGAGGGGAGATATGATTGTATGATGGCTGGTGAGAATGTAGCCAGGCCCGTGTGAGGTCGCACGCGTCTTTGGATTAGCCGGCGTGTTGACAGACCCCATACGTGGCCGGGTGCGTCCCGACGTATGAGGGGAGATATGATTGTGTGATGGCTGGTGAGAATGTAGCCAGGCCCAGTGTGAGGTCGCACGCGTCTTTGGATTAGCCGGTGTGTAGACAGACCCCATACGAGGCCGGGTGCGTCCCGTCGTATGAGGGGAGCTATGTGATTGTGTTTGGTGTGTTGAGATGGATAAACCTAGAATGTGTGAATTTATATGGATGTGATGGTTTATTTGATATCAGGAGCCAGGATTGATAGGAAAGAGCTACGTGTGGCTTGATCCCTTAATAGGGTACGTAGGCAGCCTGGGATAGCGCCTAGGTGCAGCCACGACCTAGACACCACTTAGGTGGTTTTATCGAGTATGATGTGGACCTCGTGGTTGGTCTCGAAACTTGGTTGAATTGGGGCTTGTCCGATGGACTGAGTGAGTGAAGGTGTGCATAGATAGATTTTGAATGGGTTATGTGCATGTTTGATGCATTAAGTTATTTTGAAAACAGTGTGGGCAGTTCTGCTAGAATCATTTGAAGGCCGGAGGCCATTTATGTAAATTGCATGAGATTATATTGTGCGTGCTGCTGGTTGGGTTATAAAATGTGTTTTATGCAGGTGGAAATTTTGGGGAATGTTCAATTTACAGGGGAGACTCTGCCGAAATTTTGGCAGAAAGTCTCGTACCCTAAATCCTCTCTGGTAAAAGAGGACATAGTTTTAAGGAGTGAACCCGGCGTGGGTGTGATGCCGGGGTCTCCGCAGGGTTCGTCTCGAGTTCCGGGAAATTCGGGGGGGGTCCTGTAAGCTTGGTATCAGAGCTTAGGTTCAATTTCTTGTGGACCCCGCACCTTGTGTGCATCCTTAAGTTGTGGGAGCATGATGGGTTCCGTCACAGGACGTCCTCATTTCGACGCAGAGGACTCTTTGACATGGATGGATTTAGGGTATTGATGAGTACACTTAAGGGTGCCACGTTCCTAGAAACGTGTCTATCCAAATTGTCGTATCTCAATATCCTATGGAAGGAAACGAAAGAGCTGAAAGTGTTGAATCTGCTGAGATGAGATGAAATTGTCAGACAGAGGTTGTTTCAGGAGTTCCGGAAGATGGTGTACGGAAACTGAAAGTTTCGCATGGGGACAACACATGTACCTAGGGTACAGCTGTTGAAGGACAAATTCAGATACTTGATTCAGGATCTGAAGGACGGCTTTAGTATAATCGAAATCACAAGTGTGGGAAAAGATTTAGATAGCCGTATTCCTCTTACGAAAGGAGGCTCGTGTGTGGTGGGAATACCACGAGCAAATCCAAGGATGAGACCTAGATGGATTGGTAAACCTACCGTGGAGATGAAGAGAGTGCTTTGGGGTCTCATCTCATGTGAACACGTTTGAGTGGAAGAAAGAGACTTCTCTTCTTCTGCTTGTTTGAATAGAGCTAATGGCTTGGCTGCCAACTTGGTTGTGGAGGATGAAGCATGGGAACCCGAGCTGTAGATGCGGGCCCAGTACCCACACCCTTTGGAGTGGCAGGTATGAAATTTCGGGGACGAAATTGTTATAAGGGGGGTAGTCTGTAACACCCCGACTCCAAATTTATCCCCTATTTTAATTAATTTGAGTGAAATTAAGAATTTACCCGTGGGATAGGGGTATTTTAGTCATTTTCTTACCCCGAAAGGAATTTGGGAATTCCGGATGTACCGTTGCGTAGAGCACAGCGAGATGAGTTCGTAGACACGTAGTGAGCTCGAATCGGAGTTGTAACGAGAGAGATACGATCTAAATACCTTCAGTGGCAAAACCGTAAATATTTTGAAATGGATTTTTGGTTAAAAGACGGAATTGCCCCCGTCTCTCTCACTCTCTCTCTCCCGCGCGCGTCTCTCCCTCTCTCTGGTTTTCGCGACGGCTGGAACAGCCGGCCACGTTTTGGCCGGCCGTGCTCTCGTCCGGCCACCAAAGTCGACGGGGCCGGTACCAAAATGACCGGGCCGCCGTCCTCTTCCTACCCCAGCCGGGTCTCACCGCCAGCCGCCGTGGTTTCGCCGGAAAACGAAGAGAAAAGCTCCGGTTTTGACAGAAAATTCGCCGGCTTCGTTCTCCGTCGTCCGGCCGCCATTTTTGGCGATCAAGGTATGGAAATCTATCCTTTCCTCATGATCTAGCTGATGGATGGGTAGGATTTCGTTAATTTTGAGCCTAGATTATCTGATTCTCGAGTTAGGGTTCGGCCGGATTTCGAGGAGAGATTCCGGCCACTTCCGGTCAGATTTTGGGGTACGTCCAAGAACAAAAGTGACTCCAAATTAGGTGTTTTACCTAGGGTAGGAGTCTTGAGCCGTGATTCGTGGTTTTTCCGGCGATGGGTATTGCTTTGGACACCCACGCGCTGTCGGCGCGTGTGGCGGCGCGTGGGCACTGTAGCTGATGGCCATTTTTGTCCCAATGTGATCCTCAGGTTGTCATGAGCGCGTAGGTGTGCTCGGATCTCAATTTGGATTTGTTAGAGTCCCGAACGGATATCGCATATTGCGTATTTTCCGGGTTCGCTGGGTTTGGACCGTTGGATGGTCCTGATATTATAATGTGTTGATCTAGGTATTACCAGGATCGTATAGGATTCGACGGATCGTAAAACGGAGTCCCGGATACTCCGGAAATGCCAACCCTGGGGTTAGGGTTTTAGTAACCGTCCGATTGTGTGATCATGAGCGATCCGACCGTCTGATCTGGACCAAACTTGCAGGACATGTGTCCTAGAGCCTGTAGAACCTCTAGGAACTTTCGGATCGGAATTTGGAGGTTGTGGGCCCCGCAGGCCCGTTTGACCCCAGGTTGACCATGAGACTTCCGAGATAGTCTTACCTTTACTTGAGGGTTAGGATGACCTTAGCGACAGGTCTTGAGCGTTGTTGAGTAAAATGGATATTGTGGGTTTAGGATATAAATTGGTGAATTTAAATGGGGGGAGTTTATGGAATGTTTTATTGGTTGATGTTATTGTATGATTAGAAATTAAATGATATATAAAGAAATTGAATGTTAGTTTGCAGTGCTATATGCACTACCCTATGTACCTCCTCGGATGTTGACAGACCCCATACGTGGCCGGGTGCGTCCCGACGTATGAGGGGAGAAGTGACAGTAAGATGGCTGGTGAGAATGTAGCCAGGCCCAGTGTGAGGTCGCACGCGTCTTTGGATTAGCCGGCGTGTTGACAGACCCCATACGTGGCCGGGTGCGTCCCGACGTATGAGGGGAGATATGATTGTATGATGGCTGGTGAGAATGTAGCCAGGCCTAGTGTGAGGTCGCACGCGTCTTTGGATTAGCCGGCGTGTTGACAGACCCCATACGTGGCCGGGTGCGTCCCGACGTATGAGGGGAGATATGATTGTATGATGGCTGGTGAGAATGTAGCCAGGCCCAGTGTGAGGTCGCACGCGTCTTTGGATTAGCCGGCGTGTTGACAGACCCCATACGTGGCCGGGTGCGTCCCGACGTATGAGGGGAGATATGATTGTATGATGGCTGGTGAGAATGTAGCCAGGCCCAGTGTGAGGTCGCACGCGTCTTTGGATTAGCCAGCGTGTTGACAGACCCCATACGTGGCCGGGTGCGTCCCGACGTATGAGGGGAGATATGATTGTGTGATGGCTGGTGAGAATGTAGCCAGGCCCAGTGTGAGGTCGCACGCGTCTTTGGATTAGCCGGCGTGTAGACAGACCCCATACGAGGCCGGGTGCGTCCCGTCGTATGAGGGGAGCTATGTGATTGTGTTTGGTGTGTTGAGATGGATAAACCCTAGAATGTGTGAATTTATATGGATGTGATGGTTTATTTGATATCAGGAGCCAGGATTGATAGGAAAGAGCTACGTGTGGCTTGATCCCTTAATAGGGTACGTAGGCAGCCTGGGATAGCGCCTAGGTGCAGCCACGACCTAGACACCACTTAGGTGGTTTTATCGAGTATGATGCGGACCTCGTGGTTGGTCTCGAAACTTGGTTGAATTGGGGCTTGTCCGATGGACTGAGTGATTGAAGGTGTGCATAGATAGATTTTGAATGGGTTATGTGCATGTTTGATGCATTAAGTTATTTTGAAAACAGTGTGGGCAGTTCTGCTAGAATCATTTGAAGGCCGGAGGCCATTTATGTAAATTGCATGAGATTATATTGTGCGTGCTGCTGGTTGGGTTATAAAATGTGTTTTATGCAGGTGGAAATTTTGGGGAATGTTCAATTTACAGGGGAGACTCTGCCGAAATTTTGGCAGAAAGTCTCGTACCCTAAATCCTCTCTGGTAAAAGAGGACATAGTTTTAAGGAGTGAACCCGGCGTGGGTGTGATGCCGGGGTCTCCGCAGGGTTCGTCTCGGGTTCCGGGAAATTCGGGGCGGGTCCTGTCAACTATGTCAATATTCTAGCTGGCTATGGTTACCTTTTCCTTAATTTAATTTTGTTGTTTTATCTTACTTTTACTTTTCACTATAATTTTGTTAAGCTTAGTAATAATGACCTTATTTGGCCCCATCTAAAACACTTGAAGCTGATTAAGAAAACCCAATTCATGATTTTTGGAAATTAAGTAGAGAATTTAGTAGAAGTTTTGCTTGATCCTAAGTGAATTGTGAAGAATAAACAAGGGTGAAAGTCAATGGATTAGTCTGTAAGGATGCAAAAAATGCAACAATAAAGGACTTTTTTACCGCTAGCCTAGCCAAGTCGCCTCACCAACAACATCTTTGACTCATTGGTGACTGGAACCAATATGCTCAACGTCCCTGGCCTCAACACCCTCGGCGTCTAGCCAAGTCGCCTCACCAACAACATCTTTGACTCATTGGTGACTGGAACCAATATGCTCAACGTCCCCGGCCTCAACACCCTCGGCGTCTCACTGGCTCAAATCAACTATGCCCACCTCACAAGCACCCGAAGCTACATAAATTGTGTATGTGCTTGAAGGTGAATTGGAAGTTAGATTCATAACCACAACAAACAAGCTCATCTCTAAGACCATTAAAAAAGGTGAAGTCTTTGTGTTCCCAAAAAGGTTGGTTCACGTCCAGAAGAATAATGGGAAAGTGCCTACTGCTATGATAATGGATTTAACTCTCAGCTGCAAGGTACCTTGAACATTTCTCTCACATTATTTTGTTAGAAATATGCCCTAAAGCCAAACAAATAATGTTGGTTTTTGGATATTTCACAATCATTAATGGGCAAGATCGTTGTTTTCAACCATGATATTTGGTATATTATCATAACAGTAAAACAAGTCTTTGGAATATGAAATAATATGACATATATGCAATGAGATTGGATATATGGAGACCTCTCATACTTCCAGCTTATTTCCTAAATGTTCCCAGTCGTAAGATTATCAATTGGGCTTTGATCATCCACAAAAACCGATACACACTATATTCGCTCAATTGGGAGAATGACTAGTCTCAAGTCATTACATGTAGAAACACTAAGATAAGTGTGTAGGTTCTTATAGGGACAAGTACATTGAACGCGATCAAACAACCACGAGTTCTAGAATGGAATTTTTTACTCACATGTCAAACTAGAACTCATAAATTTCAATGGTACAAACTAATCCTTAGACCAAAGATACCACAGTTGTCTTGTGACTATGTTGTTTGTCTTTGAGGCACTATACAGTTATGTTATAAAAGACATAACCAGAAGGTGTTTATCGGGACTCTCAACAAAGTCATGGAGGCAAATGAATGTACAACAAGAGATCTCTACTCTCAATATAAAGAGAGAATACTCATAGGATATGATTGATCAAATCTTTGCGCAAAGTAGTGAATAAGATTTGAAAGAAGAAATCTTCAAATTTTACCAGGATAATTATATAAGGAATAATTCACATTAAGATATTTGACATAAGATTCCATGATTTAATAATGTGAACAAGGAGTATTGTACAAGAGAATGATTCAATTGCACAGTCATTCCAATTTGAATAGGTTCTTCACTATATCATATTTACCTCGGATAAACATGATATGCTGCTAGGCATCAACCATGGTTTGTGGGAGTCATGAAATGTTCAATCATAATTGACCTTCACTAATAGGAAGAATTAAATAGTGAGATTTAATTCACAAGTCAACTCAGAGGAGTTGAGTCAACCCACTATCTTGCTAAAAGGAACCTATGACACCAAGAAATGTGATTAGAGGAACAAAGGAAGAGAAAAAAAGTCTGAGGTCAAAAGTCAATGGTCAATTGTCAAAAGTCAAAGTCCAAATGTTTGACCAAGTCAAATAGTGAGACTAATTGTAATTTAATGGTGAAGTTATAATTTATAATTAAGAGTTAATTATGTAATTAACTTTGACAATTAGAATTGGATTGAGCTTTAATTCAATTAAAGATAAAAGGGCAAAATGCCCAAATACCTATTGGGCCCAAGAATAAGTGTTGTATGATAACGCATATTCATGAGACCCAAAAGAAAGCCCATAAACCCATGGCCAAACAAGGAGGGAGAGAGTCTTTCCTCACTTGTGTGTCTTTTCCTATTTAAGCCACACTATGACATTTCCAAGCTAGGATTTTTGACCTCCATAACTTTGAAGTGTAGATGTTGTAGGTGAGATTTTTGTCCCTTCATTTTTTACCAAAAATTGGTCCAATCAAGAGTGAGTCTAGCACCTCAAACCTCTTGGTTGAACTTCTCTCCATCTCTCTTTGCATTTTGGTGTAGTGAACTAGAGGGCTCCTATTTTGGTGCCTCTTGGTTGAAGAACTTTCACAACATCAAGGAGGATTGAAGGCCTTTCCACAAGGTGATCATTCTTGATTTTTCCAAGAAAATGCTACAAGGGTAAACACTCATCCTTTCTTCCCTTTTTATTTTGTGCACAAAGAGATTAGATCCAAAGATACTTGGGGTAAATGAAATAGGATTAGCTAATCAACAAGATTAAACAAAATGATTCTGCCATTATAAATGTTTTTTTATGTATATGTTGTTGCTAAAATTCATTTTAAAATCCATGAGATGCATGTATTCGCCACCACATCAACCATGCCAGATCACGTATTGACCCAGAGATTCACCAAGGAGGTTAAGAAAATCAAGTCAAGGCTTGCTCCCAACGCCTAGAGTTTTTTAATTTCTATGTGTTTTGTGTCAGTTTTACACTTTGATGGGATTGTGCCATAGTTCATATTCATAAGAAGGCATTGTATTTTCTTTCTTTCATAGTCCAAATTTGTTTGCATGCTTTAGTTGATTTGGTGGTTCTTGCAAAATTGTTTATATGTTGTAATTGTGTTTTTTGTTCTTTTAGTAGTTCCTAATAATACACTTAATTCTTCAAAAAGCTGTCTCGATGAGTTACCTAATTTGAAATGGTAACCTTAGTCTTGGTTTATTTCGTCCACTTTCTAACATGAAATTCACCAACTTTTATGAATTATTTTCAAATTTCTGTTCAGTTAACCCAGTTCTTATTCTTCTAGCATGCAAAGACTAGTCCCCTCTGTATTAAAAAAAAAAAATTTAACTTTTTTCGGAAATTGAAATTATGCAAAAATAACTGTTACTTCTTAAGGGATCCAAGCACCAAGCTATAAATAAATTTTTGTATGTTCCGGGTAAGACACACCAACCCCAAAAAATAATTGAAAAGCCCATCCAATTCAAAATATTTTAAGGACACATACAATAATAGAGAGAATAATTAGTAGAGTTGGGAGAGATTAGATGGAGAATATATTTTCTTTAAGGAAATATGACACAAAGAGGACCACTCAATTCTCATCACAACAAACGATGAAATAACAAGATGATTCAATATGTTGTTGGATATTTGTGTTTACAAATTTTGTGGGAATGATTTAAGGAACAAGTGTTTAAGAAGGAATGGTAATGAGAGGATGAAAGATGCTTCAAGGTGTGTATGAATCTATCTTTCATAGTGTATTTGCCCTTACAACTTGTGTCCAAGGAGGTTAAGCAAATAAGCAATGTCGATTCAATGAAGCTTGGCCTAAACTATATGTTGTCAGTGTCTTGCACAACCAAAGACAACTCCAAAGACACTTTAGAATGGTAACAAGGATACTTTAGAGGCCAAATTTGCAGAAAATAACCTCTATAGGTTTTACTTTGTAAAACTAGATGGAGAATAGTTGGAATTGAACTTTGATCTTTCTTAGATCTTTCCTATATCTCTTGAATATAATTTCATGTAATTGTTCGAGTATAATCATCTATATTTATAGAGGAATTGATATCTTTTCTAAATTGGTTTAACTCATAATCCAGAAAATATACAACTCTTGAATTGTACCTATTTATCAAGAGGGTACAACTTCAATAAGGACATTTGTCTTCATGAAAGAAAGTATATTTATGTTTAAATCATGTATATGATGAATGTGTATTTATGTTTAAATGATGTATATGAAGAGTTTCTAAGGATCATATACGTGATTCAAACACTTAGGCATCAAGAGGCACACAACATAATTGAACATGTGCTTCAAAATCGCACCTTCTATATTAACCGACAGGTTGTTTTTCCTCAATGACCGGTCACTTCATTTGTAATGCAGTTAAATATGTATGAAATGGGAACATCACATTTGTATTAACCTTTACTTTCAAGCAGCAACGTATCCCCTCGTTTGTGATTCCGCATGTTGGAATCACCAAGGACTGCAGTCCATTTTTTTGTACATAGGTTAAGTATGTCAAGGAAATCCTTCCATTCTTCAAGTTGTAATCACAAGTTACCAAACACAAACAGTAACAATAGAAATAGTTTACCATGGATAAGCAACAAACCACTTTACAACTACCACATTTACATGACTCATAGTTGATCTAGTTATTAGTCAAGATATTTTGCTAACTCCACTCCCACAAGTTCCTTTTTCATCCTTATGAAAAGAAAATCCAAGGTATTCTATAATCTACAGATTAATCACTTCCAATAAATTTTAGATTCATACATTAAGCTAAAATATGATTATTATACAGTCGTTGAGTGGAATGATAACTCGCAAGTGCATGAGCCAATTAAATAATATAGCACGTGCGAGGTTGTTCCTACGAGGATTGAGAAGTTCAAAGTAGTTATGAACTTTGATTACCCAATTCAAAAACAATGAGTTATAGCTAAAGCAAACATAATTTTAAAACAAGATTTTAAAATGTTTTGAGAGGTTTGAGTTGAGTGCATGAAATGAAAATAACATAAAACTAAATAAGCAAACAAAGAAGGGCAAGGCATAAACAATGATTTTTGGGGGTTAAAATAGTTTTAAACAACTAGGTAATCAAACTCCATCAAACACAACTTAACTAGTTCATGAGTTTGGGGTACCCATGTAAGTTTCAATTTCATCATATTGACGGATCCCTTAAGATTCAAAAACTCTATGAGTTTGA